CCGAGCTGCGGGACGGGAGAAAGTCCGCGCCGCCGCCGTTGCTGTTGCTGCTGCGCCCGGATCCGTGCGGACCCTCCCGCCTCCGCTGGGGGCTCGAGCGGCCGAGGCCGGTAGGGGAGAGGTGCTCGGCTCTGTGCTCGCCCTTCCGAGGAGGTTCGGCCGGCCGGTGTGGGGTGCTGGAACGCTGTGCCTGCGGAGTTCGAGGAGCAGGGGGCCGGCTGCCGGTGCCTCGGGAGGCCCCAGCCGAGCTCTTGGCTCCGGCCCCGGTGTTTAAAGCGCCTCCTGGACCTGCTTCGGGCGCGGGGAGTTTTGCAGTTCAGCCGCGGCCACGCCGCAGCATCTCTGGTGAGAATGGACATAGCTGCGTGGCTTTCCCTGTTTGTGGGTGTCTGCTGTGTGTGTGCCTCCGCTAAAAGTGCCCCGAGCTCTACGCGTCTGCCTTTTCTTTGGGCGTTGGGGGGGCGCGGTGTAACCCCGGCTTCATGGGTTCACCCTTTCTACTTTTAAAGGTAGAAGATGGCAGACTACTCGAGGAAGTCCTTCAAAGACAGTCTGAGTGATATAAAACAACGTATGAGAGAGAAAAGAGCTCAGAAGTTGTCAAGGCTGGGTAAACCTACCCAGTTCTCCACCGTAAAGGCCAGAAGAGCAAGTAAGATGATTGAATATTTTAGGATTTATAATTTATTTGTTTTCTTTTTAATCCCCTTTGAAACACTCACTGTTGTATTGCAGCCAACAAATCCAACAAAATGAAGATCATTCAAGCAAACAACAGAGATCTGGCTCAGTCCTTGCAAGAACAAAAGCTCAAACTGAGGGAAGCTGAAGCTACCATTCTTCAGCTAAAGAAAGATTATTACACTTTGAAGGCTCAGATGCTTGTCTTGCAAAGAAATCACAGGTTCCAGCAAGAACAAGGACACATGGAGGTATTTTTAATAATAACTATATGAGCTGGCGAAGCTTAACATCAGAATCTGTACCGCTCCATTGGTAGATATCTTTATTGATCTTAAATGTTTCATAAAACATTAACTGAGTATGTTCAACAGGGTTTTTTTCACCTTAGTATGATACCTAAGTAGGTGTCAAGGTTTGGATACCTTGACACCTGGAATTGAACTTTTTCTCACTACTCTTTCTCATTTACTTAAAATAAGAAAGAGTAAACATAAGATTTTAAAAATCTTAATTTAAAAAAAAATTTAAGTCTATCTTCTGTGAATTTTCTAGGGGGTTTATCACATGTGAAGGCACCTGACAAAGGTTTTATCAGATTTTAGTTATCTCATAATGCTGATAAGTTTGTAGTTGATACTAGACTATCATAGTAACAGTGTTACTGTCCTTTCTTTGTCCATTAGAATTCACTGTCAGCCTTGAACGAGATAATTTCCAAAGTCTCTCAGAGTTTACTGGACTCAGTCACTGCTCTTGGCACAGCAAAGAATTTGTGTTCCATAGACATGGTAAGTGCCTTTTCCTCTTGAGGAGCTGGACTTCTGTTACTGATTGCCTTTGCTCTTTCCACCATAGGTATACACAGATTTTTAGATCTGTGCCCTTGTTCAGGGGAAGAACTAGTCCCACAGTTCCCAGTGTCCCAGGGGTGCACACTGTGGGGGTGTGTCAGTAGGTTATAAGTGGGACTGAGGCTCTGCTAGGCGGTGGTTGGGGCACCCTGATATTCTGGGGTTCCTTCCCCTGTCCACTTGCTGTAAGATTGGGCTGGTGATGAATGTGCTGATGTGTGGAGGCTGAGAAGGTGCCTGGCTAACACCCACAGCAGCTGGCGTTAGCCAGACAGAAAGAAAGAGTCACGGGCTTCTTTGGTCCTTCCTTGGGTAACTTGGCTGTCCTCTGAAATTTGTAGATGGTGCAAGCTTGTTTCAGACATTTAACCACAGTAAGATTTATTTTGTTGACAGAATCAAAGAGTGCTTTCTTCAGGTCCTGGAAGCAGTTGCAGTGTCACAGGACCAACACATTCAATGTAAGTATCATTGATTAATGACTGTGTGTGTTACAGGAAGTTTAATTTTCTGACGGGGAAAAAGGGAAGAAACACACTATAACAAAACTTTTCCTTGTAATAAACTTTATTGCTGTTCAGTAAATGCTATCTTTGGTATTTTCTCTAGAGAACCTCTAAAGTGTGTTCTTCAAGATAGTCCTGTACTTCCAAGTGAGATGGAAGCTGATGGTGACAGAAATTCTTTGCCAGAGATCTGTGTAGCATCTGACAGTGACATTTCCTTCACCAAAATAATTCCAAGCAAAGGTAACTAAATCAAAGTATCAGACATTGCTCCATTTTGAATTTGGAAAACAATGTGTGAGTACAAGTTTAACTAATTGCTGCTTTTGAAAGAACTGACAACTTTTGGCTTATTGTCAAAAAGGAGAAATATTAATGCTGTCCAGTAGTAAAATGTTTGAATGAAGATGCCCAACAAAATGGGGAGGAATTTGAAACTGCTTTATGTTCTCTATACCTGCAGTCCAGTTTCATTATCTACCAAGCAGTTCAACCAAGTAAAATTACCTTTAGGCAGTCATTAGCATTTAAGCATTAGCATTTAAGAAATCAATAAAACCTTGTTAACATGCTTTCTGCATGAAAGCTGTATTAAACAGAGCTTATCTCAACTGCCAAATCCTAGTTTATAAAAATCTATGGAGAAAATCCAAAGAATAGTCTGAATTTTTGATACATTTAGAATTTTTGCACAAAATCTTAACATGGTTTTTCTGTTTGGCTTTAATATGACATTTTCTCTTCAATTACAAGGACAGCCATCTGATTTTCATCTGAGCAACACAGAGCCAGAGCTGGAAAACGTTTCTTCAAGTGTAAAGTTTGGACTTGGTAGGATGTTACCAAAAAATGTATCCACCAGACGTCACTTTTCAAAGACGAGGAACCTTAATGTAATGTGTACTCGTGTCTTGGACCATTTAGAAGCACCTGATTCAGTAGAAGAACTTTCTGAAGAGAGTGAAATTAGGCTTGAGGAAAGTCTAGAGGAGTATGCTACAGAAAATATAAGTGCAGCTGTTCCTCACTTGAATGAAAGCAAGGTCCATTCAGAGCTGGCAGAGTTGAGGCAGAAAAATTCTGAAACTACACAGTTCAAATTAAAACGTAATTCTGATCTTAAACAACCAGAGTGTAAAAACAAAGAAAAGAAACGAAAGAAAGAAAAGCGCCAGAAAGGAAAACTGGAATGGCCACTTACTTCCCAACAAAGACCAAGAAAACTGAGTAAAGAAGCTTCTAAAGAAAACCTGAATTTCTTGGGTGACATCAGTGATGCTTATGACTTTCATTTGGAAGAGAGTGTCCATCTTACACCTTTTCGACAAAACAAGGAGAGCAATAGCGATACTGAAGAGGAGGACAAAGAAGACTCAACTGAAACCAATACCATTGATTCAAGCAGTACTGCAGGTGACTCAGATGACAGCCTCTATGAGCCTTACAAGAGTAAATCAAAGAAAAGGCAAAGTTCAGTGGATGAGAACCCTACGTCATCAATCCATCCAAGGCCAAGATCTAAAAGATGTTTGGCACAGCGTGAACAGAAGCTCTGTCATGAAGAAGAGACTGAAAACAACAAATCAAGTGATAAGTCTATTAGTAAGTAAAGAAAATGTTCTGTAAGTGGTTTTGTCTCCTTGAAAGAGAATGTTGTTTAGGAGATTTAGGCTTTTTTATTTTAGGGTTTTTTTTTAATGACAACTAAATAGTAATGTTTTAAGAATGGTTAAATTTTTCTTTTAAGCTTGCTTACCTGAATGAACTGAACTGTCTCTAATTTCTTCACAGGACAGCCTTCTGAGCCATCTCGTGGGCATCTCTGTGATGTTACCAATACAGCTGCAGCGCTCCCCAGCACTGGGACTGCAGAAATTGTCCCTGAAGGTGAAGGACTTGAGTCTCCAAAACGCAAGCGGCGAAGCTGTTCTGTTACTGTGAACTACAAAGAACCAAGTATTGCAGGGTAGGTGTCTTTACTTTCCAGTTTGATACAAAGTTCATGATATTCCATCCAACAGAGGATTTGAAAGGCTTATATAGATCTTGAAAATAAGATGTTAACAAAAGAGCTCATTCAAAGAAGTCTAGCGTTAGTAATACAGCCTAATACATGTAAAATGGAACTTACTAGCTAAAAGTTATTGTTTTAAGTGATGTAGGGAACAGAACTTAGTTTTGCCTTTATTTTTTTTCAAACAGGAAACTCAGGAGAGGAGATCCATATACAGATACAATGTTCCTGTGTTCTCCAATTTTCAAGGTGAAAAAAGACGCTAAACGACATTCTCATAAGACTGAAAAAATACAATGAGAAATTGGTTAGTTGTCTTTGAGATTTTCAGCAAAACCATGCTTCTGCCATGAAGAAAACAATTTCCTGGATGAAATATTTTGTTGCACAGGATGTTAAATATGTGAATAAGTTGTGTGTCTAGTATTAAGGATATCACATTAAGGGTGCCTGGATTTATTCTAGTGCCTTATTTTTAATGATTGATTACTTTTATAACGAAAGTGATTCTATTTAAGGTCTTTTTGAATGGATCTGGGAGTATATGAGAAATCTTTGATGGATAAGATGGCGAATGTCATTATCTGGGTGAACTTTTAGGCACTTCAAATGTTTTGGGCAGGAGGTATTTTTAATAAGTGTTTATACAGATCTTGTTCATGTGATGGTAGTAGTTTCATGTTGAATACTGTAATAAACGTCTTAGTCTTTGGAAACAGCTTGGAGTGGGTTGGTGATCTTTTGGCAGTTTCCATGGTTGCTTCAAGGGCACTAATGTCAGCAGTGGGTATTACAGGTCTGTCTACTCTGTCCCCATCTTCTGTGGTGGCATAAGCAGTTCAGAAGCAGCTTAGCAGCTCCAATTTGATTCTGTAGCTGCAGCTCAAAAGCAGCAATTTAGGCTTAGTTGGTATTGAGTGCAATTTAGAATCAACCAGACAGAAACAAAGCAACCTTGTCAGGCAGATTGGTGAAGGAGGCGCCACTTAGGTCCCAACTCTTGTGGGACATTCATAACAGTTTATAAAAATTTCTAAAGTTTATAAATACCATAAAAAAAGTCCCAGCTTTGACCAGTGACTTTCCCAGATGAAGAGGTGCCACATCTGTGCTTGTGCTATTTGGTGCCACACTAGGCTACATATGAGAACAGTGTTACAAACTGTCCACCACTCAAACTACTTTTACTTTGTTTGACACACACTTAAGTATTAATGGGCTTGTGAATACCCAAAGAAAAGGTACATTCCAAACACCTAACAGGGAAAAACCAAAAACTACATGTTCTTTCTTTCTTTTGTAAGACTGCCTGTCCCACTTCAATAGGTGCAAGATCTCTCCCTTTCTGTAATAAAACTAATTATTTTTCTGTAATAAAACTAATAAAAATAATTATCATTTTACTTGTAGCTTCTTCTATAGCTTTCAAAAATAATACTAGCTGTAGCTACTGCATGTTTGAAAATCATGGTTCACAACACAGCCTTTGGATGCTTGAATGGAAACTTTACCTTTGTATCCCAAAATTCTAGTCATAGGCCCTCACCATCTCAGTCTGGGATTCTAGTACTAGGGCAATTTGTGGTTGAACTACATTGGTTAGAGCCTGGTGCTAATAATGCCAGGGGTGTGGGCCCAATCCCTGTCTCAGCCATTCATGCAAGAGAGATGCACTTAATGATCCTTGAGGGTATTCTGTGAACCTCAGGTACTCTTTCATGAAACAAATCTCCAACAGCAGATTTCCTTTTATCAGAGAAAGAAAAAGAACAGGGTCATTGCAGAGCAGCCCAAGGCAGGGTGTGGTGGTTGGTCTGGGTGGTTTTTTTTTCTTACTGGATTGAGCAAGTTTGAAAAATTGAAGTGATGGAAAGCAGTCTTTCCTGATCTCAGCTGCTTTCACTAGAAGTGTTTGGTAAAACAGCTCTTGACTACTGTTGCTACCCTTAGAACAGAACACCTTCACAGGAGCAAATCTAAGTGGATGGGGGGAAAGAAAAATCTCTTCCTACTCTAATTATCTGTCACATATTGGCCAGGTGCAGGTTTTGTTGATGTGATCATAACTGACCATATGGTGATGGTACAAGCTCAACCTGGACTGTAGTTTGCTGCTACATATATTATGTATTGTGAGTAAAGGACTCTTGAAGGCAAATACTGGGAAATAGCATAATCAAAACTTGGGACAGCTAAGTCAACAGCATGGTATCTCAGTTACCATAATGCTGGGAATGATACTTGGACTGATCACAGCTCAGCCCAGCCCATCCTGAACTCTGAGGCCATTTCATGTATTTTCTGTCCTACCTGGAAGGGGCACTGACAGCACTCCTGTAGCTTCACTGTGCTAGCTTGTGGAAGTGCTTCAGTATGTATGTTTGTATCACAAGTACCAAGTAATGAAAAAAACAGAGACCAAAATAAGTAGGGTTTTGTACATATATAATTTAAAACTATTCTGTACCAGTACAATATATTAATTTGACAAATGTAAAGTTCATCAGCTGTTAAAGCATTTGCAAAACCACATATCCTACCATAACTTTATTGCACAGTATCTATGAAAATATTAATTCTTAAATTAGAAAACACGTTTCAATATAGAAGAGACAATCTGATTGAAAGACTATAAGAAAATCTACTCTGAAAATAACAAAAATTCACAGGTTACCAAGCTTAACAGGTGCATCTGTAGGCCCAATCTACAAAACAGGTTTATAGCATCCTGTTCTGGCTATTAAAGAAAAAGTACTCACTGTACCCTTGTTATAGATCCCAATGTAGGTCAGACTAAATTCATACAAAACACAATGGCAAGTCCAGCATTAACATTTTGAATACCTTGGGTACCACATTTTCTACTTCTAGATAGTTCCTGACATCTCCTTGCTGAATTGATCTGTGATCTAACACTGCACAGGCATTTTGCAGGAATAGATTCTTTGACACATCACAGGATTGGTTTTCTCAGTCTCATAACTTGAATTTCACCAGTGTAACATTTGTAAATATAAAACACCAAGAATGAAAGTTTAATCTGTTTTTCACAAAAGCAGTTATAACTTACAAACTCTAATTAGAAAACGTCAAGGGACAGCTTTTTGGCCTGCACTGATCTCCATTAAGGATTTAGGTGTACCTCTTAAATGTAGTGTAAGCAGCAAAATGTATATATATTATATGTATATATGAGTGTGTGTTTTTTTTGAAGATATACTAAAAGCTGTAAAATGTTAATATGTTCCTGGGTCTAAATAATCACAGTTAATATGCATTTACAATAAAGCTTGGCAGAAAATCCAGTTTACCACAGAGCCAAGTATCTAAGCTCAAAGCTGTCCTATGTTGTCTTCCTTTGTGTACAATAGTCTTATTTCTGCTGAACAATCTAAAGAATTTAGCAGTGAGGAGTAGTAAGTAGGGTGGATCATGAAGTGCATAAAACCTTAACTCTACTAAGCCAATTAAAATTGTCTAGTAGATGCAAAGTAGTCTCCAAAGTTATTTTCCAAAGTTGTTTTGGGTACTTATGTCCTGCATAAGCCAAGTCACTATGACATTATGCATATAGCCAGATTTTTTTCTTTTCCTTTTCTTTTTTTTTCCTTTTTTTTTTTTTTTAAAGAGTGGTTATGAGATTACAATTTGCAGGTAAAATATTTATCAAAACTGAAAATGAATAGAAAAACTTGCATCTATCAAAGATCACAGGCAGTCCTTTTCCAGAACTGACTACTCTTCTCTCACAGCTTCTCAACCAGCTGAGTGTTTCTTTTAAAAAATAATATCTTATAAAAAGATTCTACAAAGAAACAAATGTTTCAGAACCCCCCCACACCTGTTGTTTTCCCTTACAATTTTCTTTTTTACTGGAAAAAATAATAAAACTTTATCAAATAGTACTGCATTAGGTAAGCTATAACATTAGGTAAGCTATAACATCTGTTGTCTGGGAATTTTCTCCATCTTCCCAAACATGTGCAACTTCCCCCAGATTTGTGGGGTTTCTGAGGCTGTAGCTGATAAACTTATTAGGAACATAAGGTAATCGGCACACAAAAGAAATATTCCGTAATTAAATACATTATAAAGCATTTTAATAAAATAATTTTTGTAACTTCATTATAATACATGTTTGCAAAACTAAAAGGGTTTTTAAAAGTGCTAAGTATTAAACAGAAGTTTCTTGAAAGTCCCACAACTCAGATATAGAACGGCTTTCCCTGTCCATAACATAGGCACACTATTTGGTTGTAAAAAAGACAGTGTCACTTGTCAATTAATCCAGCTTCTTTAATTTTTGTGTAGAAGAATTTCTCCAGTATATTGGCACATTTGTAGTATTCACTCTCGGGGGGGTTGTACTCTCTGCAGTTTGTAAAGACTCGCTGCAAGTCTGCCATGAATAATTTCTTAGACACGTAGTACCTGTTCTTGAGTCGCTCACTCATTGTTTTGAGATCTGCACAGAAGAAAAATATATGAACAGCGTTGGATTCAAATATGTTTTGTGTGCAATATCCCTTCAGACAGATTTGCCATTTAACATGAACAGGCAAAGCTAGGATTTGGAATGGAAATTGCCTTCATCTAAGGCATGGTCCGTATTTTAGTTTCAAAAGCAACTAAGCTGCTGCAACTAAGCAATATTTCACTGTGAGGATGAATTTATGTAGAGTTTATTTTTAATTCCTTAAAACATTAAAGCTTTTTTTGTTCTGTTCTCATACTTAGAGCTCTGAGTTTTCTGTGGGTAGTAGATGTCCCTAACACCCTTCTGATTGTCCTGAGACAACCTGTTCTCAGCTCTGCTGGAGGAGGCCTTAAGAGTATATGGGCAAAGAATTCAAACATCACAAAACATGTACGTTAATCTAAAATCCTTACTGCTGTGCAAACAGAGCAGAGAAGATACACTGGTCTACACTACAAGCAGGAATTGCAGCTTTGAAAAAAAAGATTAAATTTGTTTTACGCTCTACATATATTTTTATTACCACTTCAGAGTTTATAGTTGTATATCCTTTTTAAGAATCATGTGAGAACTGATCTCTCCTGCTTTCAGAGCATCATGCAAAACATTTACTTACAGAACATTCTTTAAGGAGTGTCCTCCTTTATACTAAAATCAGTCATCCATAAAATACGTAAATCATCTCAGTGTTCTCCACACAGTTGCTTTCCCAGTAATTCTCATCAGGCATTTAAAAATTCTGTCTACATTACAAGTGTTCTAGGAGTGAGTACAGGAATAGAAGTAGTGGGAGGTGTGCTGGATGCCTTGGCTTTTCTCACCTCAGATGCTCTAACAACTATTTTTTTAGCAATGTTTGAGCCAGGCATCAGCAGCACCTTTGTGAAACTGTAACAGAAGCAGCTGAAACGAAGAAGACTTAATGTCAATGACTATTGCAAGGACAACAGAGACCAAAGACCTCCAATGCAAAGGAATTAAACTTTTTAACTTCAGATTTGAAAATATGGTTTTATTTTCATTTTGGTAATGGTTTGGGAGGTTTTAGGGTGTGGGTTTGTTTTTTTTAAGGGAGATTTGAATTTATTAAAAGAGAGGAAACTGTCAAATTGACAAGATGGGATTATTTAAGGAAAGTTTGAGGGATGCTCTCGAATACTTTTTCCAATGGTACAGAACAACAGTTTTGCACAATATTTTGTGAAAGTAAAGGCTCATTCAGCTTCTATTAAATCTGAAATTCAGGTGCCAATGCCTAAACTAGATATCCGTAGACTAATTATAGCACCTATCTGAGAAGGCTGCTCAGCTCACCCTAAAGCAAATGTTGCCTGGCTAAAGAGTTAAGCTGTTCTCCTCTTAAGTACAGTGAAAGTTTGGTTCCATCTGTCACTCAGCCATACAGCTTTTGAATGGCAGTTGAAAAGGGGAAAAAAGAAACCTAAAGGTTATTGCTTGATAGATTGCCTGAAGAGCACTTAAAACAGGGGTAAAAAAGCATTTATACATGAGAACTGACTTCAGGAGGTAGTAAAAAAAAATTACAGCCATACCTCTCAAAAACTACAATTTAGTCTGTACACAAATATAAAGGCAACTGTTATATCTTGTCTGAGAAACTTTACAGTATCAATATGCTGGCAGGGAGAGCACAAAGAAATCTGAAGTTAATCACAAATCAAGGCACAGTTTATTCGTGCCGGGTACCTTAGCTGAAAAAAAAACCAAAGCAAAACTAAACCAATGACCTCAGCTTAATCATCAAAGTAAACTGCTGCCCCTGCCTCTAGTGTAACACACCTGAACAATGAAAGGACAGACAACATTCCTACTTTGAGTTTCTCCTCAGGTAAATTATTTGTAACCACTGTTCAGATTAAACAGATTTCTGAGCTAGATCTGCTCAGAATAGCAGATAGAGAAAACTCTGCCACAGAAGGGGATTCACATTCTTTTTCTTCATTGGTAGAAAATAAATTTGTGTTGGGGATACATGAAGCCAGCAATTGGCTTATAAAGTATATGTACATCTGCTCTTTGGGAATGATAAGTTGAATATAAAAAATTAATTAAACTAAATTGATATACATGGGCTTGGAATCTATGCAAAGCAACATGAACAATTACTTTTATTCTCTGAGAAACTGATGGCTAGTAGCCTGCCATGAACCTGTAATTCCTTCTGTAACAATATTAAAGGGTTCAGAAACTGTAATCAGAATGATAGAGGTGAGTATTCCATAAATGAGGAAGGAGTGCCAGAGTTCAGTCTTAAATCTGGTGCAGTACAAATCAAGCATCCATTCAGAGTATCACTGAATTATCATTGAAATTATATGTCCCAGAAGTCAAAAGCTGGGTCATAAAAGAAGCAGTCAAAAGAAAAACATTATTAGCAGTTGTGTACTTCCCTTTGCAAGCAATCCTACATAAACAATAGCTGTGTTACTTTTAAGTGAAAATAAATAAACAAATAAGTATAACACCTCAGACAATTGTGGCAGATCTAAAAGACAAAGATAAAAGTTAGCTTAGAATCAGTTGCACGAAGCATTTTCCTAAACTTAAATTGGAGCAAAGTGTTAAGACTTAGTTAGAAAACCCTGTGACCTTTGAAAATGTTTTCTCTATGTGATTTAGAAATCTTAAATCTGTATTTCAAAGCAACTCAAATGCTCAGGTGTTGCTGAAAGTTTGCCTTCAGGTTTTTAACATATGAGTAGGATCTGCAATGACCAGTTAACCACACACAAGAACATATCCCTCCAACTCACCTACACCAGCTCAGTCCTAAAAGCTTCTAGCTGACTGCACCATTTAGGAGCTTGTTAGGGTTCTCTAGGGCACACTAAGGTTTCAGATAAGTACACCATGCATGTTTCACAAAGGTCACAGAGCACTCATCAATTTCAAATGACAGCATCACACCCTTGACACTTCAGAGCTGCAAGGTATTCAGCTGCAAGTAACACGTATCTTTTACCATAAAACAATCAGATTAAAATTTATCTGCTATGTCTGCAGCTATAATGATTTTTAAACTCTACTTAAAAAATGTTAATGGCATTACCCATGGGAAACCTTATAACTTCATAATATCCAGGAGCTTCTGTTCTCTTCACGGGTTCCATGAAGGGCCAAGCGCTTTGATGGCTCTTTGGTAAAGAAAAAAGTAAGGTATCTAATATGGAAACTAGATATTGGAAATAATTTAAAAATATTTACAGAAAGTAAACTAGAACTGGAACTCACCTTCACTTGCTGCAGGATGGTTTTTAATGTGCTGTAAAGTTGATCTGGATCCTTGGCCTCCTTACTTGAAGGAAAACATGAATATAAAAACATTAGTTTGAGTCCCTTATCTTCATTCCTACAATTTGCATTTTACCTAAAAGCAACTCCAAAGTTTCAAGAATTTTATGGAAGAACTAAATTTTAAAACAAGCAAACAAACCCAAACAAAAATCCTCAAAAAGAACCCCACTACCAAAACCACACTTGCCCACAATAAAAAAATAAAATAAAAAACACCACCAAAAAAGACACTGAAGAACTTATCTCTTGCATATTATTTGATTTCCAGTGGATGGAAGGAAATATCAAGTGATATTGTTTAAAGACTTTTCTCAAAGGAATATCCCAACTGCTTCAACATTTTACTTTATGTAGCACTTACCCTCTTTCTTTTCCACTTGGTTTCCAGCCAGTCTCTCCTGTACACCAACAACATGAGATATTATATAGGAACTACAGTAAGTCAAAACATTAACTGAGTTATTGCAACTCAAAGAAGAAAAGCCATTTCAGCACTACTGCAGTAAAATGCATTTGTTTTAATAAAAGCTACTCCTAATAAATAACATAACCATCTAGCCCACAGCTCCATTCAATTTCGTACATGCATCTTCCTCCAGACTGCTGAAAAGATTCTAAAATATTTCTATATGAAACTTCTTTTCAATAATTCAATACATATTTTACTGCAACCCACCCCTGTAAAGTATAATCATGACAAATTTATCCTATCTGATTCCTCAGGGACAAAGAATAAATTGCAGAAAAGCATAGCTGAAAAAAAGTCACCCAAAATATGATACTTTTTTTTTTTTTTTCTGTTTTGTCCTGTAAGTTCATGCCTAGCATAGAAATCATTGTTGTTCAGGAGTGCAGTGCATTAAAATGGTGCCAGGGGGAAACTGCCGCCTACACTGTGATACAAATCAAAGAGGGATCACATATAAGTAAAATTATACACACGTACATAAAAGAGGATCAGCCTGGGATGCCTTGGGGAAATTTCAAAGACAGCAGTTGTAATGGAAACACAACAATCTTCACAGAAATCAAATCAGCAGACCAAAACAATTACATTCTAATCAAAAAGAGCTATGTGACTACGATGGTATTTCTAGTCTTGGACCTTTCTTGGGCTATTCTGCTTCTGTTCTACATTAAAAGAGATTGATACATACTAATTCCAGGAATGCTTTCTATAGGAATCTGCCGTACTCCATCTTTGAAGCAAGAAAGGCCAGGATAAACTTTTCGTATTTGAGCTTGCTTCCTTTCTATGAGCTTTTTAATGATCTGTAATAGAGCAGCAGAGAAAACAAAGAATAATTTATTTGGTGTAAAGTAACCCAGAAGATTAATGCAAAACTGTGATGAACAGAAACATTCTCACTTCCTAACCTTGCAGTCCCTTTCTATGAAGTTGGTAATGGAGCTGAGCTACCTGACCAAATACCGATTCTGCAAATGAAGTTAAGTCTCTCAGCTATTTTGGCACAAATCTAGCAAAAAAAAAAGAAACATTGCTGGCTCTACTGATCACAAGCTGCACAGCTCTTGGGAAGACAGGAGCAGAGGCAGAGAAGGAAATTTTCTGAAAGAAGGTTTGAGAACTGGCTATAAAATTTTAACAGCTGTAGCTTCTGAAATTCTTCACCACAGCTGGTCAAAAATTTCAATGCACATATTGAATGCATGCATTTAGATGTACATATATGTTCATATTCCAAAATTTTAGAAACAACCCATTCACTTCAAAGACTCCATATATCTATCTGTAGGAGTTGCTTATGTATTAATCAAAGATACTCTCATGAAAGATTTTCTCTGGAGGATGCCAGAATGATGCCACTCTTCAGAACAAAAATTCTACTCTCTTTGTAAATGCTAGGGAAAGGCTTTTCCCACTCCTAGGTATACCCTCTTTTACTTTGCAATCTTATTACCTCAAATTCTGAGCAATTTGCTTTGGTGCTCTTGATACCCACTTAGATACTTATCTAAGCTTTGTATGTCCTGGATATGTGACTTTCAAAACTTCATAACTTGGAATAAACAAATGTGCAGCCATGCAGATCAACAGTTTGATAGAATATTTTCATTGGAAATAATAAAAATTGACATATTTTCATTTTTAAGGACCTTCACTCCCTCATACATAGTATTTCCTCTCAAAGAAGAGAAAAATATAAAAGCAGACTTTCAAAAGAGCTTAGAAATGTTAAGAGAAATAAAGTGTACAACAGCACTATGGCCAGATTCCAGCATAATACAAAAATAATTTCAAACTAACTATTAAATCCAACTTAAGTCCTTCTTATAATTTAGGAACTAGTGGCTCTTCCTGATTAAAGCAAGCTGTTCAATCAGTGATTACTCACAAGTCAGGAGGTCACAAAACTTTGCATAGAGGGACTTGTATTTTTTAGAATGACTGTAAACAAGCTACTGGTACAGTATCAGGTGATATGGTCTTAGCAGCCATAGGCATATACTCCAGTTCTTTAAATAAAAGCTTAGACCCCATGAAAAATTTCACTTTTAAAAGGACAGATCCTGAAATGCCTGATATCTATTACTGGGAAATAGCAGGATTCAAGAAAATTGGTACATAATACAAACTGTCAACACCCAAAATTATTTTTATGTCCAGGTAGCGTTTTCACTGCCTTTGATATGCACAGACAAGCAAACACTCTTCATGAAGCTGCAGACCATGAGGGCTATTTCTAAACTTCCTTGCAACAGGAAGAATAAAAAGGCCTGATGGGTATTTTCAATGTTTGGCAGGCAATCCTAAAATGCAGTTCCAAAGCTGTATGTAATCATTCTCAGAGAAGATCAATAGTACAGATCAGTGCATAACAGCAGCTTTCTTCCTAATAATTTTAGATATGAGATGTCTGGAGGACCAAGGCACTTTATCTACAAGAGGAGTGTCTCCAAGTTCTTTAGAATAATGTGGACACCCTGACAAATAAGAGAGTGAAGAAAGCTAATAAAGCAATCCCAGAGGCAAAATTTTGAAAACTAACAAGTTTTCGGGAGTGGCATGCCATGTTGATGGTTTGGGCCTAGAACTGTACTACTGCAATTAGGCATGTCTGAGATGTAACAGGCTACAAGAGACACATCCACTATCCACACTGACAACATCCCATCCCTAAGGGACAGCCAGCATGTCCAGCAGCAGCCTGGAATCTGAAGGGTAATGCAGCCAAGAAATGAAAGAAATTTTCCCCCTTTCAGAAATGAAAGGGGAAAAACTTATGGTCCCTGTTGTATGGACTTATGAAAACTTTCCCAATAAGTAAAGTTAAAAAACCTCATAAATTAAATGTAAAATCATCAGATAGTGTCTTTCCCTCTCCAATCACAGGCCAAATCATGCTTTTGGAAGAAAAATGATTGTTCCATAAAGAAGCATTTTAACAAAATAAAGGGTCAGGTTTGAACAATCTTGAAAGAACAAATTATAATTTATATTTCTTTAAAAACCAAGGAAGATATTTAAACACAAGTGGAAACATCGTAATTATTTTGCCAATAAACTGCCTTATTATACAGAATATTATTAAGAACTAAATAAAGAACATCCCACATAAAATCCAAAGAGGGACAGACTGGAAATTAAGACAGTTCACCCTTGCTTTTTATATTTAAAAAATAGCAGAAAAAGGAATCTTCTATTTTTCAAATAAAAGAGGACATGCAACACAAGCACTCCATTTAAATGTAGCTCTAATGAACACTACTGATATGGGAGGGAAGGAACTGACAAAGCCATAAAAAAACAAATCTCACAAGATTTTGCTTAGTTAACCACCACAAAATTGAACTGCGAATTACTCCTCAAAATACCAGTACTTTAAGAGTCTTGTTCTTGTTAAGTCAATTAGAATTTGATGTTTCAACTACAAAATTTTGGCACTGGGGCTTGAATGAAAGGATTATTCTAACTAATAAAAGTATGCATTCAAATTTAAGCACCAAAGCAGAGAGCTAACCTGGCACCCACTGAACTGCTTCTAAACATCTCAATAGAGGGTAACATTAAACATTTCATTTCAGCTCTCACCTCTTTTTGCTTTTTGATGATGACAGAAAATTCCGTGTAGGGGATCCTTGGATTTAATTCACATCCCATTAATGTGGCACCCTCATAATCCTTGATGTAGCCAACATATTTTGCTTTTGGTACTTTAATATCTTTGGAGAAACCCTGACAAAGAAAGAAAGAAAAAAAATTACATTGCCATGATGACATTTTCCTTGTTTTAACTGAAATGAATGAGGATTTAGAACCAAATTCATCATAATGCTAAAAAATACAACAATAGTTACAGACCACAATTCAGTGTTGCAGAAACCTTCTCATGGGAGGCACTAGATAAAAGAACAGTCAACTGCTAAGAAGGACTATACGGGAGATTGTATTCATTTTGAATGTGTGAAGAGTTAATAAATTATATACAGAACCATAGAACAGGTTGGAAGGAACTTGGGGAGGTCATTTAGCCCCATCTCAGCTCAGAACAGGTCTCATCATATCTGGCTGATCAAGGCTGTCACCAGTCTTGAAGATTGAAAAAGGACAGAGATTCCACCATCTCCCTAGGCAACATTTTCCAGTATTTCACCACCCTCAGGACAGGAAAGGAAAAAAAAAATTCCCTTCTACCTAGTTGCAATTTCCCACTATCCAGGTCACCTTTACTGCCTAATGCTGTACAGCATTAGAAAAATGAGAAAAATCTGACTCCAGTTTGCTGACCAGACAGTTGACACGTGTTTATCAAATCTAATTGACAAAATAGACATTGCCATCTTTCCTGAATTTGAACCTTCATGCTTCAAATCAGGAGGAGCTGCTAAGTGCAGGTCAGGTAAGTTTTAGTCTGTCACAGGTATGCTTAGTCCTTCTTTATACGTCTTATAGAATCAGTGAAGGAACTGACATTTTACTAGTTCTTAGACTAGATAATTATAGACTATACCATATACTTATATTCAGGTGATTCCATCAATGTAAAATGTATTAGAAGCTAAAAACATTGCACAAGATGAACACAGAGCACATTTTACAGATAAAAAATATACATGTAAAATTGCACTATGCATTTTATCCAATTACTTTGTCATGCCTAGTTACTTAGTTCATCACTGCTAGATATAAAACTTCCTGCAAGAAGTAATTTCTTGCAATGAACTTACTTGTTTTTTGAAGTAGCCAATAGCATATTCATCTGCATACGTGAGAAAGTTGAGAATGTTGTGTTTGATGTGGTACTCCTTCAGATGGTTCATTAGGTGAGTCCCATAACCCTGTGTGAAACATATGAGGAAAAAGTCATGACAAAGCCTTTAGGGCCTGCATATACCAGAACCTGTGGACCCAGGGTTATTACACACGATTTTTCAAAATGCAGTCTTTCCTCTAGATCCTATTTCAAAGACATTCTCTTAATTAACTTGGTGTTGCACACTCAAGAGCAAACTCTTTTGAGCCTTGAAGGAGTATCTTTGTGACCCAGCACGGAAGTTGTAATTCAAAGTGCCCACCATTTATTTTTTTTGTTCCTCTTTTAAATTAGATATCAACCATTAAAACCACATACTACACCAATAACAAAACTGCACATGCTGTAACAATAGAGCATCCTTTCTGAGCCCTATCACATCAAAACTACAAAGCAGTAGCAATATTGAAATTATTCCAGTGTTCTGTGCACCTGTAGCAAAACCATCTCTGCCTCAAAAGATTTCTTATCTAAACTTATCATAAGGCATAAAAAGGAACAGTGAACAATTGGCATAATAAGGAGCAGAAAATTATTGAGTCCACAATCAAATAAATAGCTGCATCTTCTGACTGCACACAGGCATGATTTCCATTTAAATTTAGCCCCAAAGTAAACAAAAGGTTGCATTTATTCACACTGACAAGTAAGCCATAGTCATCCCCTCCTGCTGTGATATTAAGAAATATAAAGTAGATAGGAAAGCCCATAATAATGTTTTGTTCCTGCGTATGTTCCAACTTTCTCATCATGCAGACTAACAGGACACTTAGAGAAACATACATGGATTTCTTTTTGGTACTCTGTTCTTGAAAACTGGGAAAATTTTTACTGATGTAATAAAGTCAGAAAAATAAATTAGAAAATACAAACTTCTGATTTTATTTACATTTTAATAGCCCCAAATATGGCAATTGGCATTTAGGAAACTAAGCCACATCCAGTAAAACTTAAAATTATTTTGTAACAGGGGACTAAACTACCTAAAAAATAATTCAATTTGTATGGGAAAATTATTCCTATATTTTTTACTCCAGCCTCAAAGTGAATTAAAATAGGAATTTATTTTTCCTAAGACTAGGCAGGTCACCCATGTGTGAACTTTTTTTTTCTCAGTTATCTGTTGACATGGTCAGCTTACTCAGAAAGAAAGGTGGGAAGGCAAATTTTCAGAAACACTCAACTGATATAGTGAAGAACCCAGAGGATAAAAGAATAAATAGAATAAATAAAAAGAATAAACACAACCCTGGACTCAATCTGATGGGTCAGAATTATCTGCTCTATTACTGTGAAAGATTATTCCTAGAAAATTTTGACACACCTTTGGCAGCCTCACCTGTGTAATGCAGTTAAGCACAACTTACACATATTGTTAGGGCTTGCATTTGTTAATTTACTCTTAATGCTGACAGGTCACTGCTTAATGTAAGGAAATGCTCCTTTCTAACACCAGAGTTGAATAAAATTAAATATAACCTGATATTAGCGGTTGTTACAGACTTTCAATCCCACAGTGTTACTCTTTTGCACCAGGATGTACAATTTTTGTATGTTATAACTGTTACACACTCTGAATTAACCTACATCTCAGCTCTTGCTACTTGAACTAAAAATCATGAAGCTACAGCACCATCTAAAGGCAAAACACTGAACCAAATGGTGGGAGTTCGATCAACCTGTAGTAGCTGGAAAAGCTGGAGGAATCTCATGTATTCATAGTGCTCTGCATTCTTTCAGCACAGATGCTGTCAACATTCTGATAAAATTTTGTGGCATTAAGTCAAAGAAGAGTGCACAGAATAGACCCTGTGCTTATTTTTAGATGTAAAACCTAGCAAAAAAAAACCTAGTAAAAAAGCCCAATTTTTTATTATATCTCATTTAGATTAAAGTCATGTAATGTCACAAAGTGACTGAAAACAAATTACTGCCCCACACAAGCAATATGCATTTCAGTCAACCATGAGGTGTTACACTACACAAAGACACAGCTACTGGGAAAAGAGGCATGAAAAGTCCAAGAATGGCAGGCTACTGCTCTGCTGAGAAAAATAAATACAGGTAATCTTAGAATTATGATGATAATTATAAATCTGCACTTTTTAATTTGGCTTTTGTGTATTAAATTCATAACTGCTGTATGTTTCAAAATCTGTTTCTGTCTGGAAACTCAGCAGTATATTCAACATCACTAAAAATATTAGGGGCACATGGCAGAAGGTGAATGGGACTCAAATCCACTTAAAAAACACTTATGATATAGAATTCTTTTACCTTGACTTGCTCATTGGAAGTCACAGCACAGAAAACAATCTCTGTAAATCCTTGGGAGGGGAACATCCGGAAGCAGATACCACCGATAACACGACCATCTTTTATTAATGCAAGGGTTTTATGTTTCCTGAGCAGACAAAAATAACAATCACTTAATTCATGCACACAGTACATAAAGTGCTATTAACCTTCCCTTTTTCAGAAACTTGATTCAATTCTTTCCGTGATGATAATGCAATTGTATATGCCTCCTAAGTTAGCCACTTGTATCTACAGAAGAGTTGTTACTTTAATATCATGCTTTCAGTATACCATAAAGGTCATATCATAAATAAAGCATGCTTTTGGCCTTGCCAAGTACTCTGTGATACTCGGGTAATGTCCAAAAAATAAAAGTTGTATTGCCTTCATTGAATCAATTGTTGATAGTTACACTATTGCACAGTTCTCAGGATGGTTTTATCCGGAGTAAATTGAAAATTAATGGAGTTACAGGAGAGCAAGTCCTTTCTAATGGACTCCTGTTTGCTTGCATGCACTCTCCATAGTTAAGTTATCAGTATCAAATGCAGCTGATGAAGTAAGAGAGGACATTTCTTATTTCTGATCACCCACTCCTCTGAGAATCAAGACCAGAATAAATATCCATTTCTCTTGCAGTTATAGTGGCTGCCAGGAAAGATGTAACAAGGTGCAATCTCAACTCTTATGTTCCTTTTAAGGAATTTTTGTACAATCCTCAAGGTGTGAAAACAGTGAACTTTTCTTTAGATTATTCAATACACAGTAGCATATAAATAATATAAATTATACAGTTAATATACAGATGATGTATATTGAAGTTACACTGTATGTGCCACCATTTAAGAAGATTTTATACACATTATATATTCTTTTAGTCTTGTACTCATTTCAGTGCATTTTACTTGTGGAATGACAGCAGCAATGCAGTATGTTGAGCTTTTGTGGTGGTTTCACCCTGGCTGGATGCCAGGTGCCCTCCAAAGCTGCTCTGTCATCCCTCTTCTCAGCTAGACAGGGGAGACAAAATGTAATGAAAGGCTCATGAGTTGAGATAAGAGCAGGGAGAGATAACAATTACCACCACAGGCCAAACAGACTTGACTTGGGGAAATTAGTTGAATTTATTACCAAACAAAATCTGAGCATGATAATGGAAAGTAAAACAAATCCTAAAACTACCTTTCCCCTTCTCCTTCCCAATTCTCTACCTTCTCTCCCAGGCAGCACAGGGGGATGGGGAATGGTCAGCTCACTACATGTTATCTGTGTCACAGTTTCCTCCTCAGGCAAGAGAGTTCTTCCCCTGCTCCACCATGGGGTTCCTCCTTCAGGAACTGCATTAGCACAGGTCCCTTTCCATAGGGACACAAGTCCTGCCAGCAAAGCTGCTCTAGCAGGTAGTATGGGAAACTCTCTTCATAGGGCTACAGGATCTGCCAGGAACCTGCTCCAGGGTGGGCTTCCCACAGGGCCACAGCCTGCCTTCACCACCTGCTCCAGCATGGGGAGAGTGTGTGAAGTCCTTCCCTGTGGAGGAAGAAGCAGCATACAGCACATGGGAACTGACCGTGGCCTCCATCCCCCAGCACTGCTTGGGGGAGAAGGAAGAGAATCATGAATGAAGCTAAGCTTGGGAAGAAGGGAGACATGGGGCAAAGGCATTTTAAAATGTAGTTTTTATTTTCTCATTATCCTATTCTGATCTGATTTGTAAAAAATTAAACTTATTTCCCCAAGTTGAGTCTCTTTTGCCTGAGATAGTGATCAATGAGCGATCACTCCCTGCCCTTCTATCTGAGAACTTTGTACTTTTTCTCTCCTGTCCAGCTGAGGAGGGGAGCAATAAAACAGGTTTTGTAGGAATCTGGCATCCAGCCGATGTCAACCCACCACAGTCCCACAAGAAACTTATTATTAATACAGCCACCAAGATGGCACTTGGGTACAATCCAATTAGATTGATCAGGAGTCATGAGAGCTTGAAAAGATTGCAAAAGTGTAGCACAGGCAGAGCTGCTCTCCACCCCACCTGTGCTGCAAACAGCACCAGACTCCCTCTACCTCACACGCCAGCCCCCTCTCCAAGGATACCCACGGATCAAAGACCAAGCGGGTGATGTATTCCTTCGGCATTCGAGGCAGCTGATGGGAGAACACATTCTGCAAACCAACCAGCCACATCATGATCTTCTTGTTGGGCTTCTGGTTCAGGGAGTTGCCAACCACGTGGAATTCAATCACCCCCCTGCGCTCCTCCAGCCTCGCTGCCTCGTCCCGGGCCGAGTGTGCCGAGAGAAAGTTGGTCTGTACCACACAAAAGAGAAACAAAATCAGTTTTGAGATTTCACATCCTCTGACAGAACATCCTTAACGAACAAACAAATTAAACCCTCTCTCTTTTTCCAACAGAACTGCCCATGACTTCCTTTGTAATGTACCTTTGCAGAAGGGACATCATCACACCATCAAATAAACCCGATGTAAGTCTACACTACAGTCTACAAAGGCGTATCTGATTTTATATTGATACAGATTTAGATAAAAATGGGTATGACTCAAAAAGTTCCAAAACCTCCTGAGGGATAGCCCTCATCCAGTTGAAGCCTACGCCACTAAGTCTTCATATTCTCTTTAGTCTTAGCCAGCTTGGGCATGAATTGTGGAATCACCTACGCATACCGCAAATCACACATTTTAATGGTGGTGCAGGAAAAGTCATATTCTTTTTTATTTTTTATTTTTTATTAGTGCTTTCCAGTATCTCTGCCACTACTGAAAGTCCCTAAAAAAAGAATTTAATTCCCACAGGATTTGCTGTTACATATCTAGCAATTGCATCTATATATCTAAATGCAGATTAAATTAATACAGAAAATTTATTTAACTTATTCTTTTCAAGATGATTTTACAATGCCAAACCATCTCTGTATGCACATACTGTTTACTTTTTTGAGCAAAGTTTGGCTGCTGGGTTTCAAGTCACTGCCAGCCCCAACAGCCAGGCTGGCACAGCATTTGTAATATGCAGAGCCATCAGTCACAGTACATAGTTTGAATAAGAAATGTAGGTGGTTCCAAATCTTCAGCAGTGTCTAGCTAAATCTTGGCAAATGAGCTGCTGGCAAAACATAGCCTGGCAGAGAGAACAGAAGGAGGAAAAGCCAGCCAAGGAAAAAAAAAGTGCAATTCTGTACATGGCACAATTCTGCATTTCTGTTTGTTTTTCTCTTCCAGCCGAAAAAAAGAGCAACTGGGGAAGACAGCAAATAACTGTTTAGATCAGTTTCTGCACCAGAGAGAAGTTTTAACTTCGGATCTTTCATTCTGCTGCAATTCTTGAACCCCATTCAGCAGTATTCTTTGTTCACCTAATCATACTCTTTCAAAGTCTATTTGTCTTGTCTTAGCTTATCACATTCTATCCATATGGAACATTCACTAAAAACAGACCAGTTACAAACAGACCATTCCCAACACCGAGTCTGTATCTCACCTCTGGCCCAAGCATTGCTGCAGGATCTGTAATTGTTGACATTACTTCGTTGATTAACTCAATAGGGATATCTCCTACAACCCTTGGTCTTTTAGAATCCTCCAGAGAATAGGGCTCATTATTTTTTCTCTTTTCCCCTATAAAACAAAACTTTGAAAATTAGAAATAACCAAACTGTCACAGACTAGCACTATGAAGTCTAGCACTTCTGTCATATTCTGTAGCTTATATGAAAAGTTTGAGGTTGGGTTATCTGGTCTGATATTTTTTGGTTTTTTGTTTTTTTAAATCTCCATAGACAAAGAGAAAGAGAAATAAATGAAATCTGAAAAATACCACTTCTCAATTTTCACTTTGCACTGGGGTATTAGCATGAAGCAGGAAAAATGTACCTCTCCTTCCTCTATATCTCTCTAAACTCAGTTTCAAACTATTTGCTTTTTCTTTTTGCTTCAAAATCCTCTGCATGGAACTTCTGTGCAGCTGGTTTGGAAGGTCAGTACTCAATACACAAATTGCAGCACTTATTTATGGATAACATGAAATCCCCCTTTTAGGATTCACTGGAACTAAGTATCTCTCTTAGATTGCAATGCAAGATGTAACCAAAAGTATGTATTCTATTACCATCTGTTAAAACCAGGTGGGGCAATGTTCTTTATCTCTTCCACCACCCATCCTCCCTCCAGAGGGTTATCTGCTGTTAATGGGTCATTGAGTCTCACTGCACAACTGATAAAACTACATAATCCCATTGGGAGATGCTCCACCCAGGGGGAGGAGCCAAGCATTCCTACCTGGATATAATCTGAGCCTTGGAACACCACAGTCAACCTTTCTGCACTGGATTCCCAGAAGAAGACTGGACCCATCTACACCACCACTGGACCTTTAGAGGAAAACCACACCCTTCTACAGGATCACTGCTTCAACAGAAACACACCTGTCACTCCAGGAGAGCTGCAGCCACCACTTAATCAGACTGCTACCAACATCCTGACCTGTCAGGTTGTATTCTGACTCTGTCAGTGGTTTTTTTGTACTACTGCATTTTATTATAATTGTCCTATTAAGTTGTAGGGTTTTGTTTGTTTTGTTGGGGTTTTTTTTTAATTTACATGTACTGGTAAGGAATTTTAATTCCTAATCCTATATCTTTGCTTAAGATCCCCTTAATTTCAAAATTAAAATAATTCAGAAAGAGAGAGTTTACATTTTCCATTTCAAGGGTGGCTTCTGCCTTCCTTAGGAGACACCTGTCTTTTCAAACCAAGACAGTACCCATCATATATTTCTTTCACCTCTTCTGTAAACCCAGCAGCACATACAGATAAATACACATACCTATGTATGTATGTCATACATACTTGAAAATCTATGTAAGATTTCCAAATCAAAATATACCAAGTTAATTATTAGCTGCCCAACTGACTGCAGAGACACATGCATTATACAGCACAAGAAACTAGTTAAATTCATAAAAGAACAGTCCACCAAGGACTGAGGTAGCTGAGGTACAGTAATAGAGATCCAGCTGCTAGCTCAGGATTATCCCACTCATCATCCTACTCCCTACTCATTGCCACCTCTGAAGGACAACTTGAGAAATTACCTTACAGAAAACTGCAGTTTAGGAGCCACCCCAAGTTTTTCTGTACTAAATACCGAGACTAAAAATTCACTTTGGTTTTGGTTTTTCTCCTTTCTTGAGGACTCACTTTACATATGCTTGGGACCCTCTCTCTGACCTAGAAACCTCTCTTGACAGGCTCATTAATCCTGAGGTGTTTGAAAAATGATTTATTAGGAGAATTTATGCATCACCAACTTTTTTTCTTGCAAGGTTTTTGTTTGTTGCTTTTTTTTTTACTTAACCTCATTGAGGTTTTAAATTTAACCTGGTTGGTGTGTCTGTGTTTTTCTTCACTGTTTAAATGTCTGCATTTTCACTACCTTGAAAGATTAAAATACACAAATGTGATGGCCCCTTCTACTCTGCCATTATTTAAATGAAACCTCTCCTCATGGCTTATAATAGGTGTACTCCAAGAAAGCGTATTTTTCAAAAACCTCTGACACCAGCAGATCTTTCCCCATTTTAAATGAATTTAAACAAACCAATTGGGTTTTTTTTGCAAATACAGTTACCATTTCTGTAAATTAAACTTTACTGTAGTGGAGAAAAAGGTATGTGTGTGCAAATCTTTCAGCAAAAACACCTCAAGTTTGCTCATGTAGAGTGAAGACAAAGGTTACCACATACTGCAACTACTGATAAGATCAACATAAATCAAAAGGCAAGGCTCCTTCTCCATTACCTAAGTTTGGGTCAAGGGCAGAAGAAACTTTACAAGCTGGACTCATATTCCCACTGTTGGATTGCTCCAGAGATGAAGGACTTGCACTGTATGCAACAGATCTTGCAACGGGAGGTGGACTGATAACTGCAACAACATAAAAAACAAGCACAAAAAAATCAAGTCATGGAACCCATTCTGGAAAGACTGTCACAAAGATGGACCCCCACCACCCAAAAAGTAACAGTGAACACTGTGCAACAGAGCAATGCCACCAGTTCACAGGTACAGACATTAAAGTTTTATATCAGTGTATTTTTCTGAACTAAATTCTAACTAAGAAGGAACTGCTGGATAACAGGGATTGCAAATTCAGGCTTTATTAGTTCTCAGTGCTAAGCAGAAGCTAAGAAAACAAACTTCCCTCACATACCTGCCAAGCCTGCTGGCATTCAGCTTCATGAAAAGGTTTTTTGTGGGGCTCTATTGAAAAGCAAAATCTCATCATTCAGCTTCATCTGTCCAATTTACAGTGCTCTAAGACTGGTTGGACAAGTCAAACTCAATCAAGGGAGAAGCTGTTTCACCAATTAAAAGAATGAAACTTTTAAAAGGTCACAGACTAACACCTCTCTCTCTCTCTAATATATATATATATAAAGCCCCACATTAGTCCTAAATCACGCAGTTTCATGCAGTTTTCATTTGTGCTACCCATCACTAAATGCAAATTACCTGTCTGGATTCCCAGCTGGCCAGTTCGGGAACTAGACACCATGAAATCCTGATCCCAAATGGGAGAATTCTGGCTGTACACTTCTTCTTCCAGCATAGACAGAAACCTAGGCACAAAACGAGGCAAAATATCAACTAATGGGATCATTCCAAACAGGTTCTTTTTCAAAATAAACACTTGCAATGTTTTTAAATTAAAAACATTTACTAAGTCAGTAAGAAAATGCTGTTGGCCAATGCTATTAAAAAAAAACCCACACATGCAAAAATCACATGCCAGAGTAGACATGAAGTACCACAATTCAGTAGAGTGCTTTCATTTACAAAACCTTGCCTCTGATTACAAGCAATAGTTATCTAATTTGCAAGTGCAGAAAAAGACAGTTACAAACTACTTTTACAGAGCAAAACTCCACTAATGAGAAAGTTATGAGTTGACTGATGTTATACAATGATGGCAAAATATGTCTGTTTTGATAAACCAGTATTTTGCAGATGCATTTGCTATCTGCCTTTGATAAAATCCCAGTGTTACTAACAATGCTCTTAGAAAGATATTTTCATTCCTTTAAGTGTCCCACTGTAACATTTAATTGCCATGTTTGTGCTTGCCTAACAGTATTTTTAACCTTACTTTGGTACAGTTACAGAAACAGCACAATTTTAAACCTTTCTTAGTATTATTTTATTCCACAGATCAGACTCTCCAGCACACTCACCCTCTCAGGGCTAATACACCAATTCCTTCCCAACAGCAAGACAGCTGCTTATCCTATGTTGCACAAAAGAGGTTTTCAGACCAGAAGTTGACATGGCACATTTCTACTCTCTGGAGTCATCTATATGTATAGAAACTGCTCAGCTGAAACCAACAGGACTGATGAGTAAAACTTCCTTCAACGGGATAGGGATTTTCAGGATCAAGTCAGACTCTTGTACTGTGTATGTAGGACACCCATAACAATTTCCTGTGTTTGCTGCTGTCTACACAGGTGATAATGGCTAAAAAGTTTGTAACAGTGACCTGACCATCTGTGACAGAGCAGAAGGACAAATTCAACTTTAGCCAAAGCTCTATTTCCAGGCAGTACAGAGGCTCTGCCTTCAGCCCTGATAGCAACTACTTCCTAGGTATGCACAGACACAAGCTGTGGGTGCTCCTTTGCCCAAAAGGAGAGCCCAGGGCAGAAGGGAGCCCTGTGCCAGTGCCAGGCTCCATATTCTGAGACACAGCTCCTCTGTGGGGTTCACTCAGCACAATGCCAGAGGAAACACAAATGCTTCAGATAAGTACATGAAAGATTTAAAACATTATTCATACTTCCCACAGATCATCTGGAAACAGTATTTGTCTTTTTTTTCCCCCAGCAGAATATCAAAAGGAATTGCAGTGAATAGTAATGCTTTTCAAATTACTGCAAAAGGCTTTAAAAGGCAGTGAAAACAGGGACATATGCACACCTACATCCACCACAAATCTGCTCCTTGCATCAATGGGGTGTTAAGTCCTTTTTTATATCTGTTTCAGGGCCAGATCATGATCCTGTTCCCAGACACGCAGCACAGACATTCCTGTAACCATAACAGTCTACCCCAAAGACAGTGCACATTTTTCAAAGTGGTAAAATAAACTATTAATAATAGTAGGAGCAAGAAATCCTTACTCTACTCAGCTTAGGAAAGTTCATGTTGTTTTTCATTCCCCTCAGCTCTAACCCATCTTCTGGCCCAACACAGTAGCTTGCATAGATGCATCAGTGCCACCAGGCCTTCTGTAGGTTCACTTCATTTGTTGTTAGGAGGCTTTTAAAGTATGACTTAGAGAAACAAGCTACCCTTGTAAAATAAGGATATTTTTCAAGTGATACACTATTTTACAGGAATTCATTACAGTGAATGATCCTGTCAACATCACTACCCCTCTTCACCATCAGTAAAATGTTTGAAATTAAGGACTGTCAAAGTTGAGCATGTTTCAATACCCCTATTATTGCTGTTTTATTGTGAGAGATTGTCATCAACATTCCAGTACTGGAAAAAGATACCCAGTATTAAATTTATGAGTTTAGGATTCAATGATGCAGTTTTATACTGACTCCTCTCTAATAAACCCATCTCTTCTAGGGGTGGGGTAACTATTACAATATTGAATTAAATTGAAATTCTTATAAACTCTGTACAGCATCCCCCCCCTTTTTTTAATGCTCCATCACCAAAGCAGATGCAAGCATGTTTTTGGAGGTCTGGACCTACATTGTTTCCAAGGACTACAGAAAAAGAAAGTAATTGACCTACAGTACCTGCTAATAGGCAAAAAGCACAATCCCCCAGCAATACGAATAATTCTTTTCATAAAGTAAGGCCTAGGATAAAACAAAGCAAGCATTTGTGTACATAAAATACACTAATCTAAGTTACGTCAGTAAAGAAAGCTGCAGTGTCTAGTTGCTACTGAATAAAAAGAAATTATTTTAAGCTGCAGGTAATTTCTCCCTTTCCACAACGAAGCTGATGGTTAACTTTGGAGGCAGGCACACTGGGAACCCTTACTTTGGAAAATGAGTGAGGATTAGTGTCCGTTTTTCTTGAGGAAGCTTGTCTTTTTCTTGCCGGGCCTGCTCCAGCAGTTGTCGTCTCATTACAGTAAAAACAGAGCGAAGCAATGTCCTACCAAAAACCTGGGTGGTTTCATACCGAGGTAGACTGTCACAAAACTGAGGGACATTGCAGTAACAAAGCCACCTGTAAAGAGAAAAAAAAGCCAGGTAATTATCACCATCTAACATACGACTTAATGCAATAAAACCACTACCCACATCATTTATAATGCAGCTGAGAGCTATATGACCATATAAATCAGTTCCACTACCAGGCTGGACAGAGTTAAGCAGCATTTATATTGCCTATTTTTTTACAGAAATGAGAACCAAGTACTTTTAAGTTTTCATATATTCTTTTTCTCTGCAGTCTAGTTTACACAAAGTGCTCTTTTTCCAGACAGTAATCACAGATTACAGAAAATTCATGGGTATGTCAGGGATTCTCTCCACAGCTCATTCATTCACCCTCACACATCTCTTGCTCCAAAGACGCTTAGCATAGCCTGTTTTACCCTCTAAAAGTCTACCTTACCTCACACAGAGGACAAATGGGTGACAATTTTGACTAGTTCCATCTCCATCCCAATCCAACTGAGTTCCTGGCCTGTATTTCCACCAATTGTCTCCTTCCCATTATACTCTATCTTATTACTCTTTTGTTACCAGTACCTCCATCCATAATAAACTTTGCACTAAGGAAAATTACAGGATGTCATGTTTCTCTTCTAGGAAAAGAGATTATGGTACCAAAGAGATAACTCAGGAATACACTGCCTATGTAGATCACAATATCTGTTAATCTTATAAACAAGATTTTGATATCTATGTGTAAGTGAACAGTCATTGGTATCTGAAGCTTCAGCAGAATCAGACCACAACCATTATTTCATTGCTGGAAAGCTCCAGCAATGAAAAGAAAATATTAGGATTTGGATGCAAACATACTGTGCTGGATCCTGCACACATTTCCTCATCCAGATCCAAAGTACAGCCTGTCTCAAAATGTTCTCCCAAACTCTGGCGCTTTAATCTTTGCAAACATGAGTTGCAAAAGAGTTGTGAGATAGAGCTGCTCACAGACTTCTACTCCCTGTTCTTGGCCGATAAAGCACAGCTCTCAAAACACAAGAATGCATGTGAAACTCTGATGTGGTTTCATTCAAATCCTCGGGTTCTCAAATGAGATTGGTGACTGCAAAAATTCAGGCATGCCCATGGTGCACAGCAGCACCCTGAGCAATGCCTCAGACAACACAGAGGAGAGAAGCTCACAATGACAAGTGAGATTTGATGGGAAGAGCACTTTGGGTTGGGGAGGGACCTTAGGGACTGTGGGCAGGATAGCTGAGAAAACACAAGTGACAAAATAATTAACAACAGAAAGCCACCAATCAGAACCAATTATCAATTCCTAACAAGATTTAACTCCTACCACCCCTGGCTGACACTGGTTATCACAAACAAATGGAGGTCAAACGCCCACCAAACATGGTCTTAGGAGCACCATGGATTGCAAGTGTGCTTTATGGCACTTATTCAAGGTGACAGGACATCTGGGTCAGACACAGACACAGCGCAGTCTTCTCTGTCACTACCCAGAGTCGCAACTCACACCAGGTTTGCTGCTGTTCTCCTTCATGGAGAGCAGGTGTGTGAGAGGAAAGGCCACCAGGAAAGCTGCCAGAAGGTGGTGCTCCCCCTCGGCCAGCAGAGATGTCCGGGGCGTTCCTGAGAACACAGAGGTTAACTACCTGCTGCCAGACCGGCAGGACCCTGAAACTGCTCTCACTCTGCTTACTGAAAAAGGCACTGCACTACTCTTGTGAGAAAAAGAAAATAGAGACATGTCTTTTCATCCTAGCTCTTAATCCTCCTGTGACTAAGTTATGACTTTGAATTCTAACAGCTCATTAAATGGTCATAACAAGAACCATAATTTTAAGGAACCTAGTAATATCTGTCCCCCATTTAGCATTCAAGCACTTGCAAAATTAGTTTAATTTTATAACTCCTCTGTGATTTGGTTTCAAACAGTGATGATTTACAATGCTAAATGTCATGTTCTCTCTTTTTTTTTTAAGTTGAATGATAAACAGGGATCTTAATTGAGGCTCATATTTAAGAAGACCGAGAACGCTTCACAAACACAGACCTTGCAAAAGCATTGTTAGATACAAGTGTTCCAGCCTCTACTCCCTGCTCTTGGCTGATAAAGCACATCTCTCAAGACCCAAGGATGCACATGAAACTGATACAGACACACTAAAACCCTTAGATCTTCATGTTAAATCCATGGCTGCAAGAATTCACAAGATCCATCTATGGCATAAAGACACTGGTATACTCCTGATGTTTGCACATGCCCTATTTGTAAGGAAGACTCCTAACAAGCAAAAGCAGCATTACCTGGTATAATTCACTTTATACCCCGCAATATCATCATTGGGTGATCTTAGTCTTCGCTGAGAAGGCGTCTCCAGGTGCCAGTAGTTAATGCGGTTCAGAAACATTTTAGCCAGCTCCACTATTGTTTGCCTTTCCTTCGAGGGTAAGTGGCTAAATTTGTACTGCACAAAATTATTCACACCCTTGAAAAGTAAGAAAATTCTGTTTAATACTTTATCCATAATTTTTATAGGAGCATCCCCAAACATTCCTCACTTTATGTTTATAATGAAATTGCATTGCATGAGATAGAAAAGAAACATCGGAGACCATGAACTCCTTGCTCAGCATCATGCAGATGCCACAGGCTGGTACCTGTGTACACAGCAGGAGGTACATCCAGGTATTTTTAACCTACTCTCAGCAGCTGATGTAGAGGGAAAGAAGAAAAAATTCCTTTTTCCCTCCTTCTCAAAGTCAGAAAACAGAGAAAGTTCTGGTAGGCTTTCATCTATACATAAACCAACTATCACCTCTCCAGCTACTTGCCAATAATAAATTAGAGCTTATGGACTTCTACTTAAATTTATGTCTACAAATCATGTTATTTTTTCAAGAAGTCTTAATACTTCACAATCATGTCTCCTCATTGCACTTTGGAAACTGTCCAGTTTAAAGAAAAATCTACTGAACATGATTAAAATGGGTGACTAAAATTGCTGCAACACATATTTTATAAACCATTATAACACTTAGTGCTTAGCAAATAATTTTGTTTGATTGAGTGGCTGATCTGCTAAAAACAGAATTGTAAATACTGGTCTTTTTTAAAGGGAAAATTATTTCAAAATAAGCTGTAAGAAGAATTACTCTTTTATCCCTATGCTTTATTTTCTTAAGCAACTTGAACATTATGAAGAATTTGACAAAAAATTGCATTGAATAAAACCTTTTTAATAGTATATTTTAAGGAGCCTAGGGGGATTACAAACACATTTTTTTATATTCAAACTAAAGGAGAACTTAAAGTGAAGACTTCTCAGAAATTCAGCAATAAAGTGGTTTGATCTTGCTAAATGATAAGAAGGGAGAGTTGCAAAGAAATAATTAATAAATATAGCAGTCTTCACAGTTAAATTATCCTGTTTAACAATAGAACATCATTTGGATGGGAAAACACTGAGCTCCTGTGTCAGGGAGGTATGTGAGCCTCTGCATAGTCTCACTGGAGTTCATGGGACCACTTGTCTGCCAGAAGTGCATTCTTAGGAGCTTGCTTAACCAAAAACTGAATTGGTCATATGTTCTTTATCTACTGAGAGTCACAAAAGCCTCAATTATTCTTTGGTTTCTGCTTTGGTTTTTTTCTTGTGCACCCTTTGAAAGAGAAGGCTATGATCTCACTGAATTGGACTGTAACATTTTTCTTGATATACAGAAGGCAAGTGCCATTTTAATATTGGATTTCAAAACTTCAACAGGCATTTTTCATCACTTGGAACAAAGAATGATTAGAACTGCCCACATAAAAGTAGCATTTCAAGTTAATTCTCTAAACCCACAAAAAAGTCAGTTTCATTAAAGCATAAGACCAACGATGAGAAGCCAAATAATGTAACTATTGTACAAATACTAAAAGGAGAACCAACAGCAATTTATAGCCCACTATTTTATCCTAAGCAGAACACAGAAACATCTGCAAAGTGCCTAAAAAAATGTCCTGTTTCAAAACCAGTGTTTACATTTACAAAAACAAACCACAAAAAAATCCCCAAACAAAGCCTCCAAACCCCCACCAAAATAAAATTTAAAAAATACATAAATAAACAAGAAAAAAATCCATCACACACCAACAAAAAACACATTTTGACTCTTTACCTGTTCAATGCTAGGTTTCTCAAATGGGGGACTTTCCAAAGATCCTTCTACTATGGGTTTTCCCATCTGCAAAATGCACTTCCTCAAAAGCTGTTAAAAATACACAAATGTTGAAAAGTTAGTGTATTTTCATACACAGAGTTGATGCAAGTCACAAGGGTACAACACACTGTGAGCAGTGTTGGAATTCTCCTGGCTATATACCTGCTTGTTCAGCCATCTGAATCTGTAATAACTAAACTTCACTGTGAAATCACCTTCTCTGAAATGCGTACAGGAGGCTCTCTGAGGAAATGCAGGCAGCTAAGTTACCATTCATGTCTCAACTGACTCTTCCTGGTATGTCAGTGAAGAAGGTTGCAGTTTATACATAGGACCCAGGGTCAGTTCCTCAATCACCTGAATGACTTTTGGGATAAGAATCAGTATATTGCAAGTACCAGAATGTCCAGCCCACAGTTACTCAGTAGCGCATTGTCCCAGAGAAAAACTGTCTCAGCAGAAAAAGTCAATCCACACCCGAGCACCAATGAAATTGGCTTATGTGTGAGAAAGTGAAAAATCTGAGAAGATACTCCACAAGTTCAGCTTACTTTGAACAGGTAGAAATAAACTTGCTTGGTGTCTGCATCTTCTTCTTTGTGGACACAGGTGAACAGATATTCCACATCCAACACAATCCCCAGGAGCCTGTTCATTTCTTCTTCAGACACATTCTCCAGGTGAGAAACATGAGCAGCTAAACAAAATAAAAACCCAAACTTGTAAAAGGCTACTGAGAGAACCCATAGCACAACTATAGCTCAGGAGATCTCCAGCTAAGCCTTAACTGTAAAGGCACTGATCCTGTAATAACCTACTTAAACAGACACATCTTATCTGAGGTAACTGAAACCTGTGTCACATCAGAGCAGTTTGTAAAGGTTGACCAGCAGTGGTAACTTCCACAGCAGAGGAATGGCAGCTGGTTGGAATCACATCATCTGTTAACACTTAAGCAGACTACAGAAGTCAGGCTTGTATTAATACATTGCACTATATAAATAACTACATACATTTTTGTCCTGGAGCTATGTCTTTGAGACAAGTTTTCTTGACTTAAGAAAATAAATCCATAATTTCCATAAATTATGCAATCCAGATGTAAGCATCACCTTATTTTGTGAAGAGTGAAAAAAAAACCCAGTCCCAAAAAATGACTTTTTGTTTTAAACTGGGTGTTATTGGCTAAGTCCCTTGCTTTTGTATCATGTAAGCTCAAACTGTGTTTTGTGCACACTGTATTAACAGAGATTTTGCAGACTGTACATGCTCATTTGTTCAGCAGTCTCCAAGTGACAAACTCCCTTTTATTGTCTCCAAAGGTAAATACAGTCTCACATCTGTAATTTTCAAAAGCTTGAGGTTTCTCCCTGTAAATCGGGACATTCATTTCAAGCTGGCTTGAAAAATTGGCCCAGGGAAGAAGGAAGGCAGTGTAAAACAAAAAGTCAACTCCCAAAAAGAAGATATTTGCATTACAAAAAGCAATGATCTTACTGACTCCAGGCCAATGTAGATGGTATGCATATCCTTTCCTCAGAAAGGACAAGAAAATATCCTTTCAAAGAAAGAAAAAAATACTTTTAAGTTTGGGCATATTAACTTTTTATATTTTAATACATTTTATCTATATTTGCTTCTTAAGATTAACATATATTTTTTTAACAGAAATATGACTCCTTAGCTGGGGAGTTAGTGAGGAAAAATAACACTTGACTTGAAAGTGATCACATTTATTGGCCACCCAGCAAAGATGGTTTGTTTTGAGAAGTTTAGTATGATACAAAAACATTTAAATTTAATACCTTTATTTGGCTTCCAGTAAAAAGTGCACTGTAATGCAGAACTTTAAAAATATGTCAGCAACTGTTTCCACTTAAATGAAAATTTATAATATAGTGTCTTAGGCACGTGACCATCATGAGCTTCCTTTGAGGATAAATAGTCAGTATTCTGGGCAGAATAAAATTATTTAACTTCTGTCCTTAAGGCAGGTATGAAGGGTTAATATTCCCAGCAGTTTGTCCTGATCATTTGCAAGGAATAAACATCCTCCTAGAGGAGCTTTGCATTAGAAGCTGATAACATACCAACGAAACCTTGCCTTCAACAAATGAATAAAACATCAGCATAAGAAGCCATTTCTATGCAGTTTCCATAACAATACTGAACCATGACTACTTAGTGGTGTTTAAACATTTTATTAAGCTAGAGAATTATTATTATTCATACTGAATCTAAAAGTTAAGTGTTTTACCAGCATTTACCAGACACCAATGCTTATACACCAGGTCAACAAACTATCTTTCTTCAGATGTTCACAGCCCATTCCCAAACTCTGTGGCCATTAGTAAGTGTTTTATTAAAATTAAAGCTTTAGTACACTGGCATCAGATACTGCATCACTCTTGACTAGAGTTACAATCACAATCACATGCACTGCCCAACTGGTACACCCTTCTTCCGTTGCTGTTATGCCTGGAAAAGAAATTTAAGTATCACATGTATCGGTTGCTAGAGCATGCACAGAAAAGCAAGCAGAAAGAACAAGGCTCAGTGATAGGAAGACCTTCAACTCCAGCAAACAAGCACTGGAGTGTACAAATTAGGAATGGTGAAAAAATGGATTAACGAGGAACGTGTCCACAACCTATCTCAAAACACTAAAATCAAGAAATATCCAAATGTGAAGGTGCATAGCAGGAACTGAAGACAGTGATAGGAGGAAAAAAGAGACTGAATGTGTATATGGTGTATTAGCACATTAACCAACTAGTTTTAAAAGTGATCAAAGACTGACAATGTTTACCAGTTAAAAAATGCACCTTGCAACACAGGAGAAACAATCAAATAGAAAAGAGAATAGTCTCTGACTATGCAACACCATAAAGCACATGGACAGTGAATTGTCCCAGCATCTAATCCTGTCACAGTGTTAGAAGATGTATCACCCAAATAAAAAAAATATTCATTAGAACAACCACATTGAGCCAAACTGTGGCACTGAGCACCAAAAGGATGAATATAAGTTGTAGATAAGTAGACAATAATACACAAAATCAAATAGATTTATGCGCCAAAAGCTGCACTGGCTTGAAGATCAAGCCACACCCCCAAAAACAGAAATCTCAAACAAGGTAGTATGTAGAAGTACCTTGGGATGAAAAATTAAATTCTACCAAAAAAATAAAAAAAATTAAAAAAAAATAAAAAAAAAAAAATACATCAGGTACACATTTAACCAGCACAGAAATTTCTACCTTGCTACTTCAGCGGCTTTCTGAGGAGAAGAAAAAGTACCACAGCTAATGTGAAGCCCACACACCTTGTGGTAAATCTGCTTTTAAAGGTATTCAGCAGAAATACAATAATTTAGAGGAGATGAGTAGGAAAATTAAGCTGTAAATAGATTACTTTTTTTTTATAAAATACTTTTTCTGGTTTTACAGTACTGGTTTTCCCTGGTTTCCTAGCTAAAGAATGATTTAATATTTCTTAATAGACAAAACCAGGCCCATCTTTTAGAAGAGCCAAGTTTTTCTCATACAAAACATCCACAAATTCTGCTGAAGAACAGAGAACTGACAGACACACCTTGAAAGTTTAAAAAAAAAAGAGAGAAAAAAAGCTCTTTCTTCAAAGGCCAGGATTGGAAGGGATGGGTAACACAAGCCACTCTAATTGCACAAACAGAAGCAGCACAGAGAAGCTGTGTGATGAAAAGTCAAAACTAACTTGGCTAAATTTTCTGTAATATTATGCATTTGTTAATCTTCTTCTGCAGGCAAACTCAGAGATTTTGAATATCAGGAAAAAATTCTGCTGAAAAGCCTAGAATTAAATCACATGTAATGAGTTTTATTACATGAAAACACATGTAATAAGAAAGAGTACTGCAAAAAAAAAAAAAAGGAAAAAAAATTCCATTCGAAGTACAATTTTTTTTTTAAAAAGTAAAATAATAAGTGATATATTGTGAAGGTTTTAAATTTCCCTTTTTTATTTTTTATTTCATTGTCCTAAGTTTTGTGTGGCAACAAAAATTAAACAGCAACTGTTTTTTTTTTCAACTAGCTCTGAATTTTATTTTAGCTGAATTTTTATTCAGTATTTGCTAGAAAGGATGTGGATCTATGATGGAGCAAGTTGAGAGCAGGGCAATGAAGTTGATCTGAGGGCTGGAGCACTTCTGGTTGTTCAGACTAGAGAAAAGAAGGTCCAGGGAGACCTTAGAGCAGCCTTCGGGGACTTTTTCAAGGACATGTAGTGACAAGACAAGGGCTGGTGGCTTTAGATTGGTTTAGATTAGATACCAGAAAAATGATTTTTTACAGTGAGGGTGGTAGAATGCTGGAACAAATTGCACAGAGAGGTGATGGATGCCCCATCCCTGGAAACATTTACGTTATAGTTGGCTGGGGCTCAGAGCAACCTGATCTAACATCAAGTATCCCTGCCTGCGGGAGGGTTGGGCTAGATGATCTTTAAAAGGTCCTTTCCAACTCAAACTATTCTCTGATTCTGATAAATACAGAAACAGACATCAGCTTTTATTTGGGATAAAAATATAAATTCTTAAAATAATAATACAGTGATTCAGCACTGTTTTTCAGGCTATGTGGGTAACAAATTGTTACTTATTTTAAGTCTGAAAACCAAAACCAGAAACCACAACAGTATTTAACAGTGGATTTTGAGCAGTTTCTTCCAAGACATGCAAGCTGTCTGCACAATAACTTAGACCACGCTAAGATGTACATGTTTAGAAAGCTCTTTTAGCAGGTAGGAGCACCTCCGTAGTGATGTTCAAGAATATTTTATACATTGTTCTAAAGTAAGGAAACATAATACAGCCTAAAGGAGAGAATCATTCGCTTTGTAACGAAGGCAGCTGGCAGGTAAAGCTGTGTAAGGTTAAGGTATATGCAAGACAAAGTATTAAAATTATTACAGGTAGCTTAACGGTGCTTTTGCATTTTAGCACCTTTGAATGTCAGCGTTGCTAGAAGTTGCACCTTACCCGAGTTCCTTTCCAATAAAACAAATTTCAGGATATTTCCATATTAACCATATTTTTAAAATATTAACCATATTTCAATCTAAGCTATTTCCACCTGACAGTAACTCCCATTTCTAGGCCTTGGCGTGGCACCCTGACCGGTGGTTTTGGGGCTCACCCAGAGCGTGGCTGCAGCTGCGGCAGGGCTCGGCCAGGCTGACCGCTGCCTGCTGCAGCTCGGCCCGCGGCGGCGTGGCAGGCGGGTTCGGGTTCTTCCAGCCATTGCATTTACAGGACTCCTCGGCCTGAAAGCAAAGCAAAGGGATATCGGTCAGCGCCAGAAAACACGGGAACTTGCTGAAACCGCATGATTTCAAAAGCAATAAAAAGAACCAGCAAAAAATATTTCAAAAGCAATAAAAAGCTTCTTTTTCTTTTTTTTGGGGGGGGAGCTGAGAAGAGGGGAAAGTTTTGTTGTTTTGTTTGCATTTTTATCCACCACATTATTAACCTTTATTTTCTGGAAATGATCAGAACTAGAATACTATCGCAGAGAGATTAACACAGTTTGGTAAGCAGAATTCATAACGAACCCTGGCTAGTTCCTTTACAGAAATCCCTCACTCTACTGAATAAAAATTAAAATATCTACTAGTAAATCAGCATTTACAGATCCTGCCACCGAGACAGGTTTAATTATTTAAACATAAGCAGGTTATCTAAGAGGCAACACGTTTGTCACTGCCTCATCAGCTCCACGGGCACCAAGGAATCACACACAGCTGAAACCAAGCCCATGACAAGCCAGGCAGGGTTAACTAATGCTGAAATAACCAAACAATAAATGCACTATTGGAGAAGGCTGTCTAAGGCAAGGAACACTTGGCCACAAAAGCAGCAGATGCCAAAGACAGTGACACTTCCACAGCAACCTGCTGCTTTCCCTAGGAAGTTTACTTAGGCTCACTGAGTGTCAAACAACCACCAAGAGAATGCAGCTAAAAGGGAAGACCATGAAGGAAAAGGTTGTGACTTTGGTAATTGTGTCTCAAATCATTCAGTAGTTCAAAGCACCGATTCCAGTTATCCAAAGAGCAGCTTTACAGGAGGGGATTTTCTCCTGCATATCCAAAAGTTGGATATTTGGTCATTCTAACTTCATTCGTGCTCCTATTTGAAGATCTGATTGGAAAGAAAGCCTGCTTTTCTACTCTTCAGAGATATCTGTGCACTGGGTTGTAAAAAGATACTCATGAAATTGCACTGCCGAGACCTCAGTGAGGAAAGTATGCCAATTGCTGCATAATATTTATGGCTGAAACAATCTTAGTAGGAAAAATTGTGATGGTAATATATGCAGCACTAATGTATCATTTTTCAAAACTGATTCTGCATACATTTAGTGTGATCTATTTCGGGAACCTATTTCGTTTTCCTTTTAAGTTTCCAAATCCCATCCTACCTAAGGAAGAAGAACCCAGGAGAAGAAGAAAGGATCACAGCTTGACAGCTCTTAACACTGACAGCTTTGTAAATGGCTGGTAAATTGTTCTTTTAAACTCATTTCAATATTCAGTAACCCAAGAACCAAGAGAACTGCTGCCCGCAGTTTGCTGAGCACCACATGATGTTTTTACCATCCCTGAGGCTTAAGCATTTATCCAGCTGGGCTCCTGGCCCTGGCTGCCCTGGCCTCTGCCTGGCAGGCACCAAGGGCTGTGAGCAGCATTTTCTGTAGGCACCGGCATGACTCAGAAATCCACCTGCAAGTGCCCAGCAAAGCCATTTCCGCACATTTCCCTTGAAAAAGGGACAGCTTGCATGGCCTGAACCTCCCGGCTCTCCAAACTCACTGAGAAGGTGCAGACCGCCTGCCAACCCACGCATTTATAAAGTGAAATTAGCGAGGCTTCAGGATGAAACGAAGGGAAGATTAAAACAAATTTATTTTTTTTAAGTCTCATAAACTCCAATCTGAAAAGATTTATGGTGAAGTTTATGTTCTTTTCCTATCGTGTTTTCTGTGAGTAATATGACTGGCAGAGAGCTGAAGTGTAATTTTCTGGCAGAAGCCGTCTCTTGCAGTTTCACAGGCATTGAGCCAGTTGTGTTTGTCATCCAGCCCCAGAGGCTCTCGGAGCTAAATGGACTTGAGAGCTCAGTGATTGATACCTGCAAACCACAGACTGCCCCACTGCAAGGACTCCGAACATCTGGGAGATGACATAAAACCCCTTGTTTTCAATTAGCTTCCCAATGCAAAACCAATGCCAAATAAACTATACATGTTTGCTTTAAAAATGTGAGAAAGGCAGTGTTGCCATGAAAGTTTTGCATTTAATATGAGGTAGAGAAACTGTCAACAAAAAAAGGGAAGAAGTCTGGAAATGAGATTATTGACAAAGAAAATGCAAGAAACAAATGTGAAAGAGTTGTCAAACAAAAAAGGATTGAATATTATTTTAGGGAAATAAGATTTGACCCTTCCCATGGAGCTGTCTGGACAAATGTTCAACACTGTAAATTACTGACATATCACCATTATTTATTGCCTTAAATCATGCCACAATGAAGCATATCCAGAACTCCCTCCTAAAAATAGGCACAAGGCTTTTGTGATTTTTTTTTTTTTCTCTGAGTGGAAGCAGTATGTCACAGAAGCTCACCAAGCAATGTTTACTATCAAGCCAAAAGACTCTAAACAGTGAGTAACTATGTAAACTTTAGTGTCACACCATAATTAACAGCAAAGATGCAAACAGATGTACGAATCGTGGTAACAGCTCAGTTAAACTGACAAAAATAAACATCAACCCACCCACAGAAGAATAAAACCAGCATGTTCAATGGCAATTTTTTTTCTGTTCTTGTTGGTGTTTCCTCGACAGATCTTTTTGCAACAGCTGTTAAATGATATTGTTCAAATTATTCTAGAGACCTTAACCAACCAACCACTAGGGTGGGTCTTTTTGGTTAATCTCTATAAAACACCAGAATCATCATAAATGTTCTGTTAACCAAGGCAAAACAGAACCTGAAAAGGTCCTCTTTAAAACTTAGCTTTCACTGTAGATGTTGACAGTGCAAGTATTTTGCAGTGAATATGCAATGTGCATTCCTCAGTGGCTTAAATTGCTGAGTTGTTTTAAATCTTCCACAGCATTTTGCTCATTCAATCCTTTCTTTGACTATCTTTGGCTTTTTCCTTTCTTCCTTTTTTGTTTTTTAATGTCACTCATCTGCTTTTCATTAGAAAATAAAGTATGACTTCACCTCTGCAAAAACTTAAGACCAAAACACTTTTGAGGGAAGGAAGGAAAAGTATTTGAACTAGCACATCCAGTCCTTGAAGCCTCGTTTTCTGGGACATCTGCACAGCTTTGACAAATCCACTGTAGAACAAGGGGGACTTCTGCCCTAATGAAGACTAAAAGTAATGACTGTCATCTTTGCAGGCCCAGGGATCATGAACACCACACCTTCATTCGTGTTTTTAAATAAAATTGAATGAGTATAATAAAATAAAACACAACTACATGCTGTTGCCTGCCACCCTCCCCACAAAAAACAAAACAAACAAACAAACAAAATTACAGAAATTATGTATATTTTGTACTGCATGACACAATTTCACTTTTCTTTTTAACACCTTTCAAGTTTGGTGGAGTGTTACAGTGAGAGAAATCAAACTGTCCAGTAGCTCTGAGCAGTGAAAACTGCAACTCTAGGCAAACTAAAGTTATCGTTTCCTTTAGAATACTAAACACACAGATAAGTCAAATATGGAGAGTGAAAAAATACAGAACATTTTAACACAAATTGTCAGTATTTTATTTAAAAAAGAAACACCTGAAAGTTACAATATTGCACATATCTCAGCCCCTTTTAGGTGAGTTTCAGCTGTTTAAATAATAAATAAACCAAAAATGCTAAAATAATAACCTATGGACTAAAATACCCCTTCCCCTTCTAGATAGTGAAATAAGCCTGAGAATGTGCAAACTTCAAGTTAACTTAATTACAAGGTAAAAGACCCCAACAGTTCTAAATCTGAGTTTCAGTTCACTGTTGTGCAGGGTTTTTCTTTCCAGCTTAAAATTATACAGGTTACCCTATTTGGTAATTGAGATGCAAAGCAGGTTCAACAGATTATACACAAAATGTTACAGATCTTCTCTATTTCCAACAAGTATAATTACACTAGAAAACATCTTCTTCCTCCCATCACAAAAGCTGTGTAAAATACCTTTTAAGCTTTTTCCTGTTGCTGGCAGCAAGCTCAAAATGGTGACTTCATCAAAGAGTATCACATAAATGATAATAAGTACATTGACAAATTTAAATAATATATTCTTCCTACTCATATGCCCAGTACCCAAGAACCAAACAGCTGGACACTACTCAAAGAGCCACTCATATGTATCAGGAGATTAGCTGACTCATTTATCTTTAACAATACAAAGTAAGCAGTTTAATGGGCAGCTTAAAGGGCATATTCTTCATTTATTGGTAGATCAATTATTTCATTCCTTCTACTTTCCAGTTGCACTTACAGAAGAGAAGTAGGCTACCATATAAGGCTTTTATTAATAAGCACCCAGTTCCTATCTTGTAAAGTTAATGGTAGATTTCCTATTTAAAGGAAGATGCTTTAACAGGGCCTGTAAGAGATTATAAAACAGATTCACCTCACAATGAAAGTGATAAGAAAGCTTTGGATGTCTTCTTTGTCTCCTATACTTTTGTAGAAAACAATACATTTCGAGTTGAGCTTCAAGGAGCTGTACTTCCACTATACAGAACACAGCAGTAACATGGCCAAATTGACCTCATCTTAATCTGCCTTATAAGAATCAGGAAAGAAAATAGTTTATAATGGAAAATGTGGTACAAGTTTACCTTATGAACTCCTTTTTTTATGTGTGGGAAAACCAGAGCTTACTCTAGAATGAGCAGTGGGAAGAAGTGCTTCAAGACAGGATGAGCAGCTGGTCTTGAGCCTGGAGCTGGGATTTTACTTCAACATCGGCCCTTGCTCACCTGCTGCAGGGCCTTGGCCAAGTCATCTCATCACAAACCTTCTCATTCTGTCTAGTTTGTTCACCTAAAGCAAAAAGCTTTTCTTCAAGGAGGTATCATTCCTTGTGCAAGTGCTTTAGGCTACCGAGTTCTCATTATATCTGCAAACACCCTGGCATTACTGTTAAGATACATATAATGAAAAATAAACAAGTTTACAGAAAACTTGGTGTACTAAAATAGTACATATTTCACCTTATTTACAGAAAAAGCTCCCAGTGA